AAAATCAGTTTTGAGAAAATAAATATACCACGAGTATCTACTCGCAACGTAGAATTTTTCTACAATATTTAATTCAACTAAAATTAAATATTTAGCCATCAAAAATTCAGTTAAAATCGGGTCAAACCCATATTTTATAACTGATTTTTCCAACAACAATATTTATAAAAACCATAAGAAAGAATTTCTATAATTTATAAAGATCTTTATTGTAATTAGATTTTTATGTTTGTTCTTCGTGTTGGACCACCCGTGCTGAAGAGAAACTTTGTAACGATAGGAGGAGATTTATGTGGACATGACAACTGCCCAGCCCGGTCCGGGCCTGACCTGCAACCGGCCCAGCCCAGTCCCAACCGACCCACAATCGGCACGTAAGTTGCCGGTTCTGAGAACCGGCATCGTAGCTTTACGGGCCGAGACCAGGCCGGGACAAGGTCGATTCCACGGGCCGGTCCTTATTTTTTAGCGGGCCGATTAAGGGTCACCCATGAAAGGCCCGCTAACCCCACGGGCCGGGCCAGGCCACTGCCCGGCCACCTCTAGCTTAATGGCATGAAATTTGTTTCTTAATTTGCAGAATAGAAACAATATTGGTATATATTTATGCAAACACACCCCAACTAAAAAGACCTAATTACCTGTTTAAGCACGAACCACGAAACCCTTGGCGCGCCAGGCCCCAGCAGCAGCTTACACTGAAAGGGAGAGACCGCTCAAAAAGGTGGTAAATTTTGGCTCTTTTTACTCACTGCCGCTCTGTAATCACTTGTCCTCAAACAAGATCAGCAAGCAAGCTCGCCCCATATATCGATTCAGATTCGCTAGTATTTTCTGTGAAAAAGTTGTAGCTGGATACCAGCAGAGGGCTTTGGAATTCGAATCGAATCTAGGAGAAGATGTCAGACCTTGACCGGCAGATAGAGCAGCTGAAGAGGTGCGAGCCGCTCGAGGAGTCTGAAGTAAAGAGCCTGTGCCTCAAGGCCATGGAGATCCTCGTGGAGGAGGGCAATGTTCAGCGCGTCGATGCCCCTGTCACTGTACGTATTAGGGGAAAATGAAGTGTTTGGTTGATTTTGATTCAATTTTGGTGGTTCTTTTCATTAGGGTTTTGAAAGGGGGGAAAATTGTTTTTGGATTTTGGATGTGTGTAATTCTTCTCGAGGCTAATCTGCAGTGCTGTTGAATGGATCTAGCATTTTTTTTTTCTTTGATTGGAGCTTCTGGGAGTTGGGGAAAATTGTTGTGCTTATTGTATTTGGCAATCTCTGTTTGAATTTTATGGTGTATATGCTATGTTTCTCATTTAATGAAGAAGTGGGAGATTTGGCCACCAAGCTGGTTTTAGGAAGTATGGAAAACGTGTGCTTTTAAGTAGATATGGACATTTCTGCTGTTTGCTGAGGAAATAACTATGACAATTTTCCTTCTTCTTCTTCTTCTTCTTGATAAATGCAATCGCTTTGAGGATGCTGGTGCAGCTATCAGGTTAATCAAGTACTGTAACTGTTATTCTAAGATAGAATGTTTGGACATATCTGAATATTAGAAAATTGCTATCTGCTGCTTGAGATATATGTTGATCTCAGTTGTAATCAAATCCTAATACGTTTTACTCTTTGGCTCATGTAGATTTGTGGGGACATACACGGGCAGTTTTATGACATGAAAGAGCTGTTTAAAGTAGGTGGCGACTGCCCAAAGACTAATTACTTATTTCTTGGAGATTTTGTTGATAGAGGATTTTATTCTGTCGAGACATTCCTGCTTCTACTTGCGTTGAAGGTAACTTGGCTACTATTTACTTAACTGTGTATGAGTTATCCAGCATTTTCAGTAACATCTTAAGATAATGAGCAATTATAAGCACATAGATAATGGGCCTTCCTGAACATTCGGTGCATTGACAGGTAAGATATCCTGATAGGATAACCCTCATCAGGGGAAACCATGAGAGCCGACAGATAACACAGGTTTGGATCTATAAATCTTTTGTGTGAGAATTGGTGTACAATTTTGTGTAAATTATTTAATTTTCCCTTCTTTTCAGGTGTATGGTTTCTATGACGAGTGCCTACGGAAATATGGTTCTATCAATGTTTGGAGATACTGCACTGACGTTTTTGATTACATGAGGTTCCGATCTTCAAGATATTTCTATTTTCTAAATGCAAATAAACAAATTCCATTTCGGTTTTGTATGTTAGAACTCTTGGAAACTGAATAATATAATGAATTCTCGTTAGTTCTTGCCTCTGATCATGGTGTAGCTATGAAATTTAAAATGCCTTTTTGCATCTTTGTACCTGCAACCTTTTGCATATCCCCATTCAGATTTCACTGGTCTCTAGCACGTGTTGGTTGTGGAATAGAAACATCACTTATGTTTTGCCATCTCTTGTAGTCTGTCAGCGCTCATCGAGAACAGGATATTCTGTGTTCATGGCGGTTTGTCTCCTGCAATTTCTACATTAGACCAGGTTTAAAAAGTATACTGAATTAGTAGTTTTCTTCTTACTTACCCCCAATCTCCCATTTCCAACCCCCTAAAAAAAGTATGGAAAAAGGGAGGCATTCCTTGTTTTTCTTCCTAAGAGACATCTATGGCATGTCAGATTCGGACAATTGATCGAAAGCAAGAAGTTCCTCATGATGGTGCCATGTGTGATCTCCTATGGTCGGATCCAGAGGACATTATGGATGGTTGGGGACTGAGTCCACGTGGTGCTGGATTCTTATTTGGTGGCAGTGTCGTCACTACTTTTAATCACACTAATAAGATTGACTACATATGCCGTGCCCATCAGTTGGTAATGGATGGCTATAAATGGATGTTTAAGGACCAGATAGTTACGGTTTGGTCAGCCCCAAATTACTGTTACAGGTAAAAATGACATTTTTGGTGATTGATAAACTAATAATAGCTGCTGTTGTTGGCTTTGCATTCATTTACCATGAATCTGTCAATAAGATTTAGTTATGCTGCAGATGTGGAAACATAGCTGCGATTCTCGAGCTAAATGAAAACCTTGAAAAGGAGTTCCGTGTATTTCAAGCGGCTCCACAGGTATACGCATGCAATTGTTTTGCTTTATCTGTACTCGCGTTATTCTTAATATTACTGAACTTCGTTGCATTTTACTTTGCTGTCCCAGAGCAATGGAAATACTGGGGTAGGAATCCCGTTTTTCTTGCTCATACTCTGTTGTGTTTTCCGAAATGAGTTTGAGAGCTCATTTTCAATTCTCTGTCTGATCACACAAGTTATTTTTCTTCTCACGTGACATGATTTGCACATAGTGAAATTTTACGGAAATGCTGATTCATACACATTCGTCGTATTGTGATTTTATGATTAATAGTAAACCTGTTTTTTATCTCATGGTTCATTCTTTGCCGTTATTGGGTGAAATGTAGGAGTCAAGAGGACCGCCGGCCAGAAAGCCAGCTCCAGATTACTTCTTGTAGGGAATGAAGTGTAAGAAACATAGTATTAAATGGCTCTTGAATGAGCAATCTCATTGTTTTATGTGTTGCTCTAAACATGAAATTGTGGCTTGAGCTCCGTGGTGGTGTGGTAGAAAATCGAAACTCTGCTTTTAAAGAGAATAGGAACTGTGCGAGTGTTCGGGGGGTTTTGCTTGCGCTGTATTCTTTTGTATTACCAAAAATACTTCATTTTCGTTATGTTCCAGCCATTGGCTTTTACAGAAACTTGTCTGCCAAATTGTTTCTCTGGTGGTTCAAACTTCCGACTGTCTTGTTTATGTTTCACAAATTTTAACCCCAGAAGAACTCGTAACTGAGTACTAACCATGGTTTTGAAGTGTTGAATATTGCGTTTCTATTACTAATCCTAAGCATAATTGTTAATTCCAGAGGTGCATAGTATTTATCAATGAACAAGGAAGTTATGTCTAGTTCTTCAATTTTTACGAAATTTGAAAGCACCTGGCAAATTTATTACACAACATGATGTCATAGAAAAGCTAGACTAGAAAGATTGTCCTCATAACGCGTTTTTAGTTGACCTAATTATCATTGAATTATTTTTCAATTGTAAAAGATTATTTAAAGTTAGATTATATTAAGATACTGTTTTATCCTATGTAGATAGTGCAGTCCCGCTCACCTACCCACGGTAGGCAGTGTCCACTAGTTTGTTTTATATGAAAAACGTATTCTGAGAATACGTTTTTCATATAAAACAAACTAGTGGGCACTGCCCACCGTGGGCAGGGGAATATATTTAGTAGATAGTGACGTTAGATCATTTTTAGATAAGAAACATGGTTGCGCATTTAATGACAATGATGGAATACGTTCATACAACAATAGTTTTGAATAAATTTGGAAGCGAAGGATGTTTTGTGATAGGAGATTGAATAATTCATTAAGTTTTGTACATATGATGTATATTTGTTAGATGAATATTACATTCAATTTAACATTAGCGTGTTAACACAAAGGCTCATATGGGATGAGTCGGAGTAAATTCATTTGACATGATTCAATGAAAATTCTTTAACTGTTAGTTTTTTAACCATTGGATAATTAAATTTGTGTTATAACATTACACAATATAAGTATTGTGTATAATGTGCAATATTTGAATTTGCCATTTGATTGCTAGCCAGTCACCACCAGGAATTTTTGGGTACTGTATTAATACACGTGGAGATTTATATATGGCAAGTAAACACATTTGAAGACGAGTGAATTATTTTACATAGTTTGTGATTCAAAAGTTTTGACCATGGCAAGATGAATATATTTTTTTTTTCAACAGCATAATTTCATAAAAAAAATACATATTTACACGCACATAACAACCGGTAACAGTTGGAATGAGCAGCTACACAGTTGAATCCTAGGGAGGACAACCCGAAAGGCAACCTAATCGAAACACGCACAACGCACTAACAAGCTCCCAATAGAAAAATTAAGTTCCCAATAGAAGAATTAAGCTCCCAAAAGACGAATAAACCCTACAAACCACAAGCTAAGCACAAAACAGGAAGCAGACACACAAAACACTAAACACAACAATAAAACAAACGAAAAAATCAAAACACAAAGACAGACAGAGCCCTTCCCCAGCTGAATATAACGAGCCATGCACAAGGCACCAGCAGAACAAAGGCAACCATCCCACAGCTAGATCCATAGGCCAATACCCCACTCCCGAAACTGCCAATAGGCCTAGTTGAAGCCGAATCCCGAGCCCCGCACCACCACGAGAAGGAAGTTGACCCATAGCCGTACAAAAACATAGCCAGACCTCACCCCACACACCATAACCCCGGACCCTGCCATCACCACTGGACTAGGCTCAGAGGCGTCGGTCTTCCCCGACCAGCACACCAAAGAATCGAAGAAAACGGGGAGATCGGGCCACGCTCCTCAACCCAGGCCGACTCACCACCATCGATGGCGAGCAGCCAGGGCCACTCCCCACCTCAATCGCACACCACCATCCAACACACCCACACCACCGGAGAGGCCAGAAAACCCCACCAAGACCGGCGACCAGAGATCGGCGAAGCCCATTTGTAAGAATCATCTAGCCTTCGATGGAGTGAACCGTAAGGAAATAACACAAAATTGGGATAAAAGAATTGCAGCCAAGAGTCATCCGCCGACAAGAGCGCCGACTATTCGTCGGGGAAGGCAGAAAAACGCAAACCGGCGACGAGAGGACGACAATTTAGGGTACAAGGGCGATAGGGAATTTAGGTGAAATAATTAAGGCTTTGGCAAGATGAATATTGATTCATAACTAAATCAATTTAACTGAAATGAAATAATAGTTATTAAATCACTGGGTTTTGACTTACAAATCAGTGTACAATATTTTATGAAAAATAAGTTGTTGAAAGAACTTTAGATGCATTCGCTTGAATAAAAAAGTTTTACTCGTTATTTCAAATATCACTAGGCAATCATGCTAGATGCTAGGTGTTACCATGAGTTGCTTGTTCTTAATAATAAAGAGTAAGCTTAAAATATATTAATTAATTAGATTAATGAAGTTAATCCTTCAAACATATCTTTCTTCAGATCGGTTGGATGACCATTTGATGTCGAACTAACTCCTCGGTTATCTTTCGTGAGGCATGTTTTCATGCCATTGATCTTAGGGAGTGATGGGAGAGACTCTTGATAATTAGGCCTCATATCGATGGTGAGATGTCTTGGATCGTCGGTTGATCGTGTTGATTCATACCTTGAGGGTATCTCTGTCTAGTCCCCATTATTTTCCTGACCTAACCTAACCTGGTCGATTGATCTCTAGGTCATCGAGTGCGGTGCTGACCAAGAATGAGACGAGCACTTCCCAGGTCAACAGATTGATCGCTGGGATGGTTTTTTTTTTTTTTACCGCCTGGAAATACGTTTGAAGAGGTTCCATAAAGATCACCTTCCCAAGGTCCTTCCTTGGTCGTTCGGCCGATATAGGGCCTTTCTTATTACATATCACTAATAACATTCTTGTCGAGAGTGAGCTAATCGAACCATATTCTTGTCGAAGGTAAGCGAATATGGGAAATGAAATAGACAATAATATAATGCAAATTATAAATGTGACACACATAGTACCCAGATGTAACAGAAGAATAACAAAGTTGCAAAATGAAGGCACTGTGCAAGGCTTATATATCTGAGCAAAATAATAAGAAACGAAAAACATAACATGGAAAGTGATGTGGACAGAAGTGCCTTTCTTCTAGTGTCAATTTGTTGATTGTCAGTTTTCAACAACAAGATTACGAAGCGGCAATATGCTAGATTAAGAATAATATATGAGATTAGAAGGAATTAAAAAGGTGATAAGAATTAACAACAAACGAAGAACAAAAGGAAAACAAAGGGCATGATAATCGACGAATTATGTGTTTGCGTTCATACGCTCACACTTTATTTTATTGTTGAATACTGATCATCTTTCGTTATTTAGACAATGATCTTTCATGTTCTGTTTTTTCAATCGGTTTTCAATGTTTTTACCATGATTTTTCCGAACACCGGGCATGGCTATTTATACACACTAAATTGTAAGAAATCATCAAGACTCTTTGACGAGTCATGAAACACGCGGCTGGTTCCTGAAGGGTCTGCTACATGTGTGGTTACACGTGGCGGGACACCCGTCTAAATAACTAGTTTGTTTTCGTTGAGACTGTTCATACTGGGGGGTGTGAACCGGTTCTTGGGCGACAACCCTTTTTATACCGAGCAGTGAGATCGACTCGAAGGAAGCTAAATCTCTGTGGTTGATGTCTATAAGAAAAATATGTGTTGGTATAAAAAATAATTTATAATTAAATTAGAGAAGAAATTATAATTGTAAAAAATATTATTGAAAAAAAATATTTATAATATATGTAATGAGAAGCTTTTGAAGAACTAGTAGTACAGATGAATTAGTATCTTGAACTCTTATTACATTTCAATTTACTCACGCATGGTACATATATATATAGCATGTATGGATATTTCTAGAGTTCAATAATTGATCATTGCCACCTTATTACAACCAATGCTCAACTAATGACAACTAATGTCAACTAATGACAACATAATTATTTCTAGAATGTGCATTAATAATTTAACACTCCCCCTTAATGCTCATTTGGATAATTCCAAGTTTTTCACGTAGAGTCTCGAATCTTGGTTGCGGTAAGGCCTTTGTGAAAATATCTGCAAGTTGATCTACAGTGGCGACATACTTGATCTCTATCTGCTTGTCATTAGTTGCTTCTCTTAGAAAATGGTATTTGATAGCAATGTATTTAGTCCTGCTGTGATGTACGAGATTTTTCACTATTGCTATCGCTGACTTATTGTCACAGTATATCTCTGTTGAACTTTCTTGGGCCATGTATCCAAGAATACGCCTAAGCCAAATAGCTTGACTTGTCGTTAGTGCTGCTGCAACATATTCAGCTTCTACAGAAGATTGTGCCACACAGTCTTGCTTTTTAGATGACCACGAGAATATGCCTGAGCCAAGTGAAAATGTGTAGTCAGAGGTGCCTTTCATGTCGTCAGTTGATCCACCCCAGTCACTGTCTGTGTAGCCGATCATTCTTGACTCTTTGTTATATTCGTATTGGATTCCGTAGTCTTTAGTACCCTGCAAATATCGCAGTATTCTCTTCGCGGCTCCATAGTTAACTTGGCTCAGACTTTGCATGAACCTTGACAGTAGGTTGTTGCGTACATGATATCTGGTCTTGTGGCCGTTAAATATAGCAGGCTTCCAATCAGACTTCGGTATGTGGAGGCGTCTGCATTTGGCGTACCATCGTCTTTGCTAAATTTTTCATTTGCAACCATGAGAGTAGCCACAGGTTTACTGTCGTCCATCTTGAACCTTTTTAGTAGATTATCTGTGTATTTCCTCTATGAGATAAATATCCTATTTTCTTCTTTATTTACCTCAATGCCAAGAAAATAACTCATTT